GAAGACCCCAAGAGCCAATTGAGGTAATTGTGAAAGGTGAATTGGGGAGATCTGTCCCTGATAAATGATAGCTAAAAATAAAAGTTATTTTTCAAATGGTACTGTTGAGATCAACATCTTTAAAATACCCTGAGTGATGTTATCATTGGGATGCTGGATTAAAACTAAACAGGATTTTAAAAATCCAGTTGCCAGGAATTCGTCAGAAACTTTGTGATGTGAGTGGTGTATGTTTGGTGGGGGAGTAAGCCCATAACTTTTTGTAGAATGTAAAATTTTCTTTGGCTACGTCTGTACTGCACCCTTTTTCCGCAAAAGCTTATGCAAATGAAACGTGGTTAGAATATCGCTGTGCTTCATTTGCATAATTAATTAGGGGCCATTTTTGCACAAGAGGCTGTAGACAGCTCCTCTTGCGCAAACACCCCCATCTTTTGCCAGAGCTGTTCTTCCTGAAAAAATGAGGAAGAACGGCTCATGCACAAGAGGGTGTTTTTGCACAAAAAGGAGCCGTCTACACAGTTCCTTTTTGCAGAAAAGCCTCTTGCACAAAAATGCCCCCTAATTAATTATTCAAATGAAGCGAGGCAATATTCTACTCTGTGCTTCATTTGCATAAACTTTTGCAGAGAAAGGGTGAAGTATAGATGTAGTCTTTATCAAGCCTTAATTGTTGGTAAGATGTTCTGAATGTGAATTGGAATATTGCTGTCTTTGTCTGTAGACAAACTGTTCCTTGGCTTCTCAATTTCCCCAGCTGCCTCAGAATGAAATTAACATGACTATTGAGATTGCATTGCAGTGCATCAGAATCACATGTATGAAATTGAAATTGGCAAGAATAATTAGGAAGTTATGAGCAGCATTTAGAGGTATTCCTTGGAGCTATTTACTTGGAGAAGCATCCAAATAGTTAAGGCTGTTGAAAAGGTAGAATACTCATTATTTCCCTCTTCCCATCATAACAGAAGGCTGGGCCATTGCATTGGTTATTAGACTTGAGATTCAGTGAGAAATTTCCTCCCAGTTGGTAAAGTAGTTTGAAATGGCTTTTCGAGTGGTGTCTGGGATAGCACTCTATCCCTTCCAGGAAGAAAGGTTGGATGGAGGAGATGGACTCCTCACCAGTATGTTGTCTGTATCTTGCTGGCAGGGAGAGATGAGTTTGTCCCTCATTTTTTATATGGCTTTTTAGACTTGTAGCTACCACAGACTTTCAAACCTTGAAACTGCAAATGTATGCTGTTTTTGTTTACATTTTACATTTCCTTAAAACAGACCTCTTAATTTTAAGGTAAGGAATACATTTCCATTCACATATAAGAATGGAAATTGATTCTATATTTAGCCCCCCCCCTTTTTTTTTTTGCAAGTTACATTATCAGCCTAAGCTGTTTGCTAATGTATACTGGCATTTTATGATTTAATAAAATGTGCAACAAAAACACCTGTTTGGATATAGAATTTTGTTTCTGAAGTATATTTGAAGGAATTAAATTTTTTATTGCAACTGTTTCATTATATCTTGTTATATTTGAGAAGTTTCTGTTGGAATAAATGGAGGCAAACTTTCAGTCTAGCATTTGGGAAATATGCTCAAATAATATGAGCTGAATGCTCTGGGTTTGGGGGGGGGACATGTTTCTAAAGGGAGGGAGAATTTAGGTCTTTGCTTCTACTTTCTTTGTTAAACCAGCTCCCTTCAGCCTCTCCATAAGTTAATTCCCAGCAGAGGTCCAGATACTATTCCTGAACATTGGTTTAGTGTTTGCTGCTAATATTTCCAGAAAGTACTATGTGCAGAAGCACATCGCACAAGAATGATTCTCTGCTGTAGAACTTCCTTGCTCTGCATCTGAAAATGGGAAAGGATTGAGGGACTCTGAATTCTTATATTTATATACCTATTTTAACTTCTACACTGTAAATCCACTATTGTAACACTTGGAGGCCAACCTAGTCAGGGTCCCATTTTGCTAAATGAGTACAGACATCTAGTAGAGGACAGTTGCTGCTACCAAAGAACTTACACTTTAAAATTAAATCAAATATTCGCAAAATTAACCTAATTTGAAAGGAGGATGTTTGTAGTGGAAATACTGAGACCTTCTTAAAAATTATGGAATGATGAGGTTTAACTGAACAATCGGGTAGCCAAAAACTGAGATTGAAGTTCTTTATGTACTCCAGAATAGATATGGTGCCTATATATAAATATAAAATGTAAAATAATTAACCATCACATTATGGGAAAATGCTTGACTTAAATTAGTTTCTCTTCCAAGAATTATAAAATGCATTTGTCCAGGCCAGTTTATTATGCTGCAGTCCAACCAAATACATTAATATATCAATTGCGTTTTCAAGGTGCATAGTATGTGGGATTTAGTGACATGGTGCATGAACCATTTATATTCTGGGGCCATCTTTTTTGTATATATTTACAAAGAAAGAAAATTCTCAAGGTTACAAATCTGGAAAGGTAACTTTGAAGTGTTCATTTTTTTTAATATATGAAGACTATATTATGGCTTTGGACTTTGCAGGCACATAAGCTGATGTTTTCCTAATTAGAATGGCAAATAAAATATTTATTGAAATGGTTCAAGGATGGTAGCCTGATTACATAAAATAAAATAATTATGTGAGTATTAGCTATGCAGCTCAGAATAATAGTTGAAAAGGTAGAATATTATATTCTACTTTTAAAATTCTGAAAGCAGCTAATCAAAATACTATTCAGTGCATGAGGAAAAATATATATTCCAATTCACAGTGTCTCTGTGGTGGGCAAGTACAGCGTACTATTAATACTGAAATTTGGACAGTACATGGTAGACTTGATTCTTATGTTAAAATTAACAAAAACAAAATCTTCAAGTGGTGAGTTCATTCCTTTTTCTACAGCTGTTCAAAGATTCTGACTCTTGCTACACAGTACCCCTCCACCATAGTAGGATATTGGTTCATTACTGTCTTAGGAGGAAGAGTGCTAGCAACTTAACATGACTATTGGTCTCATCTGTGATATGATGCTATAATGGTTGTAAATGAGAGAATTTTAATAAAGTAGCATTTTTTTCACATCTTTTTGCAGATCCAACTTAAAATGTGCATGTTCCTCATGCGTGACTTTTGACCAGTCATGTCCATTGAGGCTAAGCTTCTTCTCTGCATGTCTGCATTGCTTTCCCCCAACTCCGCCAATCTGAGAATATCTGGCTAAGTTACCCAAACTGCTTCTCATTTTCCTATTATCATCTGTGGCAGACAGACAGAGCTTGGTCTCTACCTTTTGCCCTGAAACACTTTTCATTGTCTCAAACTTGTAAATATTAGTAGCTAGAAGATTTACCTGGCATGCAGGTGACCTCAGAGGGAGAGGACTTTCTCAGCCATCTCTCAGGGCAACAACTTAGGGCTAGGTGAGAATTGCCTCTGCAGCTGACACGGCTGGGGAAGGAGTGCATGTCCTCTGGTAGGGCAGGTTGTGGTTAGTCTTCCGTCTGCACTCCCCACTCAGAGTGAGGAATGCAGCAAACTGTGCAGTTCCCCTTCATCACAGAGTGAGGGGAACAGCCAGCACTTTTCCTGTATGAATCGGGAGGAGAGAAGCTTCAGCCCTTCCCAGGTGCCCTTTAGGGAAATTGGAGGGTGGTAGTTCTTGGGGCTGGGGCAGTCTCAGACTGGGCAAGGATGCACCCCAAGCCAGCCTCTTTCACCTGCCTGGTGATTCTATCCCTTTTCTGTATGGTTTTATGAGAAGCAATCCCACTCCAGGCACATCCCCATTTTCCTGGCACAACCAAAACTTTTACTTTGGTTTAAGTTATGATAAGAGAATCTGCATACCAAATTTGGTGGTGGTCTTAGCTCTTACTGTTTAGTAGGAGTTATTGAACTGACAGATGGATTCATGCATAGACAAACTCTCAAATATATAGTAGACTACTACAATTAGCTTAATTTAAGGATGATTTTCTGCCTTTTTGGCAGCCCCCTTATTTGTCATCTTGAAATTTTCTTCCCTTCTTCTGACTCCTTAGCACCACGGTGCCTTCCTGTCTATTAATCAAACTTAAACTCAAACTTATGGCTTTCAGCCATACCCATCTTGTGAGAGCTTATAACATAAACTGAGAGAATAGTTGATGTTTTGGGGAGAAGGGTGATGGTTATGTTTTGGACCCTTGTTCTGTATGTCAGTATTTCTCTGCCAGAACTTGTCTCCAAAGATATTTGCTAAAACTCTGCCTACTGGAGTTGTCCATGAAGAGGAATGTAGGATTGAGAGAGATGTTCCTCTGGTTGTAGAGAGTCTCCTCCTAGAGACCTCACTCTTTCAAAGACTCCTTAACTTAGAGAAGCAATCTTAAAACTTCCTGTTATCAGTACTGGGAGAGGGTCTGCAACTCTTGCAGTCAGCCATCCTCCAAAATGAACTCACCATTCATTGGCTGTGAGCTTGGCACTCAAGCCTGGTGCTACTTCCACCACATTGAAGAATTAAGGGTGATCTCCCACCCCTATGAGGCTAATGGCCTGTGCTCCCTACTGCCATGCTGGAGTGTCCACGTTTGTTTATTGACAAATAAAATTTGCAGAATTTTAAAAATATCATGCATAGAATTATTAATATTTTGACAACTCCCTCTGGAGTAACTTAAAATCTTCAGTTAGAAGTTTTAGCTATTGTTTGTTACTGTATGTAATGTTTATTTTCTATTATAGCTTCTAATTTCAAAGCATCTGTGAACCTAGTCAAATATTAAAATTACAATTTCTAAACTGGTTCTAAATCTGGTGGAACAGCAAATAAACTTGAATAAGCTTTTTCCATTTGAATATTTGGAACCTTATAAACTGTATTAATTCTTATATTACATGCAGATTCAGGTTCTGTTTAGGCTTTTCTGCTGTGGCCAGCACTGTATCTGATTGCCAAGGTTTTTTAACCTCAGCTCTTTAAATACTATAATTCAGTCTTCTTTCTTCAACAGGAAGAAGAGAATTTATCCAAAGATTAAAACTTGAAGCAACACTGAATGTGCATGATGGCTGTGTAAGTGATTTCTTGTATCTAAATTTTCAGTACTTCAAAAATGGGGTGTCCCATGTCAGTGTGTATGTGTCTAGACTGAAAAATGCAAACTGAATACATTTTAAAGCTGAATGAAAATATGTACTTGCCAATACCTGCATCCAAGCTTTCTGGGTTCCATTTCTTCTGAAGCAATTGAGGACAACTCAGTCCCTGAAATGGAGCAATGAGCTGTGTTCATTTCATTGCTTTACTTATGAATGAGGCAGTCACCTATAGCAGAAAAAACATTGGACTTGGGTAGGACCAGGAAAACTAAGGAAGAATTAATCTTAAGTAACTTCTTATGTACTTATTTGTAATTTAACACACATTCTGATAATTTAGGATTTTTTTTTTTTGCATTGCTGTGCTTGAAGCATTTTAGTTCACGTGTAAACTTAGAAAAGAGGAAGGGCTATATGTTGATTATGAAATCTAAAATTTAAAATCTGTAGTCTAAAATGTGTCTAATCTTGGAAACAACATGAAATGGTGCAATCAGATGTTTAAAAGAAAACCACATTATTATTTATAAGTAAATAATTAGGTTTTAAAATAAATCTCTACTTTCCAAGTCTAAATGATATAAAAAATTTTCCATGCTGTGCTCTCATAACCACAGTTCTCATTAAATCCTGCTTCTGATAGATGTAACAGAAGACAGGGAGGCAGCAAAAAGACTGTGTTCCTCAAACTCCACAGGATTGCTTGAGCTCTTAAGAGTAGTAGTAGTGGATACATTTGACTAAGTTCTGTGACCTAGGTGGTAGAGGTTGGTTGTTGTGACAGGGCATCTTTGCTGGCCGGTCATCTGACAACAAAGCAGAAGTTCAGGTTTTGTTTTTTTTCTTATCAAAGGATTTTTAAAAGATTTTGGGATGGTTAGGGAAAAAATTGTTTGTAAAGTCCATTATATGCAAACTACTGTGAAAATGAAAATATTGAAATGTTGGGATTTTACACAAATTTATAATTCAGTCTCCCATAGCATTGTGATTAGGGATGTTAAAATGCATATAATTAAGTAAATGTGTAACTGCTGAAATTTTCAGCAGTTACGCATGGAGGGCAGGTAGCTCCCATCTGCTGACTCCCCCCTTCCTGCACTGCTGCGTCTAATACAGAGGCAGTGGAGGGAGGGAGCCACATGGCTCCTCAGGAGCCGGTGAACACCAGGAGCTTGCACATAACTGTGAAGGTTAACCAATGAGCACGGTTGCACTTTCACATCCGTAATTGTGATGGGACCTAAATTTTTATGCCTATGAAAGCCATGAAGTGGTAAAGCATACTGCCAATAACCCTTTAATTTATTCATATTCTAGGATGTGGTTGTATCTAATACCACTTGATTAGTGTTAGCTTTATTTGTAAGCTTAAACAGGTGACAAGTTGTGGATGGTTAGCTTGCTGTAGGAGAGGAGGTTAAGTAGGACTTGCTGTAAGTAAAAGATTCAAACTCTCCACAGTTCTACAATTTAGTATGTAGAATGACAAATGTGATTGGGAAAAGTTAGCTGCTCTGTATCCTCCTCGTCAACTAAATGTGAACTCAGAAATCTTTTTTGCAGCATGAATATTTAGAGGATGCATGCCCTTTCCATGTTAGTGAACAAGGAAATCAACATGTGATCAAACCACTATTTTCTAATGATAGTAACTTAATTTCTAAAAATATTATCAGACCTAAAATCCTAGTCTGAATTACATATGGTTGATTTTGAAGCTTTTAAACCAAGAGCACTTTTATATATGCTTAATATTTATTCAGATACAGGCAGTCCCCGCACTTACGAACGGGGCTTTCTCACCCCGGAGCTTGCAGGCAGCGGTCCTGCCACCTCGACCTCCGGGGCGAGAAAAG